CCTTTCTGCCACTCTATTCTAATGTGGAGTGTAGGAATAAGAACTCTGATGAATAACCCCAAAAGTCTCAAAGTAGGATGAGTGGTTCTTCTCAAAATATTACTTATTATCAGAATGAAATATTTTGATTCGGGTGTTAAACTGAGTAAGGGTAAGTTTATGAAATTTTTGCACAATAGTCAATACTTCATCCCGAGATTTCATGAGATAAATCCAAGTGTAACGAGAATAATCATCAATAAAAATGATAAAGTACTTATAACCCCCCATAGTAGGCAAATGATATGGCCTCCACACATTAGACTGCGCAATATGAAAAGGAGAAATAGATCTTTTATTGCTTATTGAATAAGATTGTCTACAATACTTTGCAATTTCACAAGATTCACAATGAAGACTTGATAAAGACACTCCCTTAAACATATTAGAAAACAAATGATTCAAAGCAGAAAAAGGCAAATGACCAAACCGGAAATGACATAACATGACTCTATCAATACTCAGACAAAACCAATTCTAAGGCTACTCCATGAGGTAGTCCAAGAGTCCTATCAGTTGTGTCCAACAATTATATTCCATTCGCCTCATGGCCACTCCCAATCGTCCTTTGAGATTTCAAGTCCTAAAAAACATAATGGGTAGGAAAGAATGTTATGCTACAGTTCATGGATTTAGTTAAGCTGCTAACAGATAAAAGATTGGTATTTATATTTGGGTACATGAAGGATAGAGGATAAAATAAGGGTGTCAGCAGGAGATATTTTCTCTTTACCAGAGAGGAGATGATATGAACAAAAAAGGTTAGATAAGTTGGTCGTTTGGTCTGATGCACTAGAATCAATGATCCAAGAGATTTTATAGTTACTTGAAACAGAAGCATGATTTGTAGAAGCACAAATACTTGAGTGAGCAAATGTGGATGATGATGTGTTGCCAGAAGAGTGGGATGTTGAGATAGTGGTTTCCAAGTGATTCAATAATTTTCCATACTTTTCAAACTCTACCTTCATTGCTGCCAACTGTTCCATGGTTGAATTTTCTTCACTCTCCTTATTCCCTCCTTTGGGCACTATGGAAACATTAGCATTCTTAGGCTTTCCTGTCTGACCAATCTTCTTTTAATTGTTGTTATTCTTAAACATGTTCGGTAGAAGATCTGGATGAAGCTTCTAGCAACTGTCCTTAGTATGCCTCAGTTTCTTGCAGTATTCACATATCATCTTTTTTTTCTCAATCAGACCCTTCGGCTTTATTCCATCATGTGCAAAGTGTTCTATAGGTGAACTCTGTAACTAAACATATCGCCTACTCTCTTCACTACTTACCATAGCATATACTTGGGCAATAGTGACCTTATCCTTGGCCAGAATATTCTGCCTAATAATGTCGAACTCAGGGTTTAAGTCCTGTAAGAAATTCAAACACCTTGTTTCGTCCCACCAATTTCCCAAAAGTCTCTGCATCCTTTGTACGCTCTCATACAATTGTTTCCATAACATCAATTTCCTGCCATAGTGATTTCAACATAGATTAATAAATTGCCACACTCATCTCCCCCTGTCTCAGATTTTTTCACATCACTCTTCAACTTATAATCTCTTACCACATTCAACTTTTATGAATAGACTTTTGTAACATTGTCCCAAATCTCCTTAGCTGAAGACATCCAAAGATAATGCTAACTTATATGGGGCTGCATAAGGTTGACCAACCATCTGATTACTATATAGTTATCTTGCATCCATTTCTCAAATGCAATGTCTATCCCTGCGGGTTTCACCTTACCGCTTGTGAAATACCCTAATTTACCTCTACTACAGACATAAATCTGTATAGACTATGCCCAAGCTAGGTAATTGGTTCCATCCAACTTAATTGTGGTCATTTTAATCAAAATGGAATCTACTAAGCCAAGCTCGAATACCGGCATCTGCTTGGACTCACTTCCGTATTGCTCCATTGATCAAACGAAAATAAAAAAAAACTAGTCAATTTTTATAAACTTACTTGAAGTCAAAACAGTACCTAAATACTTGACAACTAGGGTTTCACTACACTTGGATGTCGGGGAGAAAGAAAGAAGATGCAGCCGCTCCTACTAGAGTTTCTCAACCTCTTTCAAGACTTAATAGCGCACTTCTAGAAGTCAAAATACACCTCCTAAGCATTGAGCACTACACCAAAAGCTTCTCCTTTGCATGTAACTTCAAAAATCTCTAATCGACTAGGGTTTTGGGCAGAAAAAAAATACAACATCACTTTTGGCAGTTTTTTGCCAGACTTTAACTCTCCAAACCCTCTACCAACTAGGCAAAAGATCCTCTGAACTATAGGAAACTTATCTCTCCATATACTCCTAATCAAAGGGTGTATGGGAAAAGAGAAAAAGAGAAAAAAAGAGAAAGGAGAAACTTGCTCTGATACCAAGAAGTAAATCAATCCTATAAAAGCTAATTAACATAAATAGGTAAATTAAGATAAGTAAATAAAGTAATTAAAGAAATTAAGTAAATTAGTTTAATTAAACAATTTGAGTTACTAAGTTAACAAAGCTAATTATGTAAATTAACTAATTGTTAATTTACTATTAGTCAAGCTGATTAAGTTAGTATTTAAGTAACAATCAACTTTTAATAATTGTATATTATTTATTGCTAAATTAATTATTTTTAATTTAATGACTTTAATTTTATAAAATCATTGAAGTAATTTACTTCAAGGTTAAATTTATTTTTTAACCAACCCTTTTTTTAATATTTAAAGCAACATTTCAAACTTTAGGTTTAAAGTGGCCTTGTACATTGCCACATAAGCATGCTTTATTATTTTATTCATTGTTTAATGGATTTGTCAATGATGTCTCTTAGTTCATATGTTTGTCATTGATAATCGTAGCAAAGTTCAAAGGTGTGACACCCAAAAATCTGAAATTTTTAATTTTTTTTTATGACCATGATTGCTTGTGGAGGATGGGAGGGCTTTTGGATTCATATTAGCTATGTTTTCAACCATTGAAGCATGCATTGCTTACTGTGCTAATCTTTGCACACTAATCTTTCTCAAGACAACTTTGGATCTCCTACCTATAAGAACTCTACCCACGCCTACCTACAAAACATTACTTCCGTGCATAATAACATGTAAGGGGATGAGATGATTTCCATGTGTGGCTGTGATATTATGGGTAGGTGTGGGTAAGAAACCCGGACTTGAATTTAACTTAAATGCAGTTGTATGCTATATGAACAGAGTTATTGTTTGTAGGAGATCTAGGCTACCACCTGAAGCGATGGAGAGAATTCAAGGAGAAGCACGAGCGATATATGGTTTTGCTCCTTTCATTCTCATAATGGATCAAAAGTATTAGAATCGAGTATCCTATCAGACAATTCAGCTATGATATTCCTTGGAAACACATATATGAATGAAAGATATGAACACATTTGGATACGTTAGGGAAATGTATAACAATAGCATAAATACAAATCTAAATTTGAATTAACTATGAATAAGGTATAAGCACATGATAAATGCACATTTAATAATTTATATGAAGAAAAACATTACAATTAACAACAATGGGACTCTAGAACATGTACATATCATACAACAACGTTACTAAAAAAATTAAGTATAAAATTATTTATTTTAGTTTTTTATAATTATAACTCTATTTCAATTTTTATAATTATAACTTCATTTCAATTTTTATAATTATAGTTTTCAATTTTTATTATTTTTTTAGAAAAAAATATTTATTAAGTATTTTTGTATAAATAATGACTATTTTTCACATAATGAATATGTTTCATTTTTATCGTAAAATAAAACATCTAAATCATTTAAGGTAGATAATTTGAATTATTTTTATAATTTTCAGTTTTATTAAATTTCTAAAAAATAAATATTAAATTATTTATTTCTATTTTTATAATTATAACACTATTTTGATTTTTAAATTTATAATTTATAATTTTATTAATTTTTGGAGAAAATTATTTATTTAGAATTTTTATATAAATAATAAACTATTTCTTCAAATAATAAATATAATTTTGTTTTTAACATGCAATTGTTATTTAGTATTTTTATACTAGCCTTTAGTTACAAATCTATCTAAAAAATAAAAAATAAGTTTCTAAAAAATTAAATACGAAAATACACATTTTTTTGGGAAAATGTAATGGTCAAAATTCTTAAAATCGGCATTGTATATCAAGTTGTCAAACCAAGAGCTATAATGCTTTTGTATCGTTGCATATCAGAGCATATACACTGATACGGTGCAATATGGCCCGATACAAAAGCATATCGTACCGGCACACATGAACAAAAAATACACTTTAGTCACAGTGTATCCTGTACCCATGTTCACTGGTAATAATATGATACACCCCATATTGATCATATTATATTGATATTTTAATCCATGTTTGCCATATCTCTACTTACTAACCAAAATATATTATCCTTAGTTTCTCAAACTACATAAATAAACTTACTTAATATAGAACCATGACATAAGCCAGGTGTTTCAGGTTCAAGAAATTCATAAATGAACCAACCCTATGTGTGTTTGGTTTTGATTCAACCTTCCTAGTACATGTTTGCAACTGTAGTTAACCCGATCTGATCATCTTGGATTAGGAATTTAGGATGATCAATACAATCGCATCATATTCAGATTTTAAAATCTGCATGTGGATTTAACTTTAATATATATTGATTTAATATTATATTAATTTATTATATAATAGGTTAAAAAATAATTAATTTTTAAAATTTTCTTTATTTTAAAATTGAAACGGAATCGGATTAAAACCAAATCGGATAGGATTGAATCTAATTTGGGATCTTTGATTGGATTCGGATTTTCCTTTCCATTCTGTAGACTGTACTGTAGTACACGATGTGATGATGACCAATTAAGAGGAAAATGAGGTCACAAGACTCACAACTCACAAGTAGCTACTGTTCCTATGCCGCATTGGAATCAAGAATCATGTTCAGTATGGGGAAAACACTTCGTATTTTACTGTCATAAAGCACAAACACTGGCCTGTAAGACTCTGACCTCAAAAGTTGGAACAACATTGATTTTCAAGGATTGAATATATCTAAACAAATAAAACAAGCATCATAATCTGAAACATTTTGGACACATAAAATTAAGTCAGAGAATTGAATTTTTTGTCCTCTTACTGGCGCTGCACCAGGGTCCTACAACCAGCAAAAACAGGACCCTTTTACCTAGGGCTGTTGCATGTTTTCTGCTTGGCCTTCTCAATCAAAGGCTTCAACTGCTTCTTTTCAGCAAGAATCTTGAGGAAGTTGAACAAAAATGGTATGTAGTTGTGTTTCCGACGAATGTTTTCTGTTCTCCACTTCTTGAATTTCTCCTCCTCCATCAATATCTTCTCAGTGGCACTCTCAATCCCAGCATTTACTTCTGAAAGTGATCTGTTTAGTGCCTCAATGCTACCATTGTCTACCATTCTCTCTGACTGTACAGMAGCAAGCTGCTGCAAGATACGTTCCCTCTTTCTYTGGAGATCCTTGAGTTCAGCAGTGTACATCTCTTTCCTATTTTTTATAATTGCCATGAGGTTGAATCTTATCTCACTTCTAGAATACCTGTCAATACGTTCCTGGATCACTGGTTGCACCATTCGTAACCAACCCATATCACCTGGTCCACCAGGATACTGTCCAAGGCTAATGGGTCCTTCCTTCAATCCATCAAGCTCATATAGAACACCATCAACAGGCAAATAGCTAATAAAATGGTATACATCATCATCTTTGCCTGCAACTTTCTGCTCATCTGGCACAAATGGTTCAGGTCTTGCAAAGCTATTGTGTGCTGTACGTATGGCTTCGCTATTGTTGATTGCCAATCCTTTGAGTTCAGGTGGAAAATTCTTGGTGAACTCTTTCAACATTGACAGTTCTGGGCCAATATCAATGTCTGGACAGTTCATAAGGATGGAAAGGATTGCTTGAGTTGCACATGCATTGTTAATAACCTGTATGGATATAAAAACATTTAATCATGGGCACTTAAAAGTCAATGCTCAATAACATAGTTATTGTTATAATTTGGACAAACCTGGCTTGCAAAAAATAAGTTTGGGTTTGGATCCTTAATTACGAGGCGATCATCTTTTTCCCCTGGGCGCCATTTGAAAAGGAATATCAACCCATATACTGGCCTGCATGTATGACAAAATCAGCAATGCAGACACACATGCACACACACACACAGAGTCCAGGTCCAACTGACCGAAGATTGTTTAGAGAATCCAGGTCCAACGAATACAGTTCTTCAACCTGCCAGTGCACCAAGTTGTCACATTTTCCTATACTAACAGAACGTACTAGGAAGAAAAATGAGAAACACGGGTTTGACAAGTGTATGTATTAAGAAATGAGAAATACAATAAAAGGATTCCCCACAATAATGGGATTGACAAAATCACTGAATAGTATTAGAGATGTACTTTTACACTTTTACTATTGCATTTACACATGTCCATGTCAAGGGTGTTTTTGTCTTTTCACACGAGGGTTCTTTGGTTATTAAACAACCTTACATGGGCATATGTAAAAGCAATGGTTAGAGTACATCTCTAATTTTCTAATTTCTCAAGGGTAAAAAAAAAAAAGAGGACAAGGAATAGTGCACCGCACACTTACAGTGTTGCCTCTAAAAATGTGAAATTTTCATAATACTACCTTGTATTTCAAAGTTATGTACACTGTTAGCCTTGACTTTTTTATGGTAAAAGAAGATTTATTAAAATAAGAAAAGAGAGTACAAGCTTCTAAGGTGTTAAGACAACACCTTCAAACTACAAAACAAAATAAAAAAAGACTCAGTATTATAGGTTTGTAAATCCAACACCTCCCAAAGCCTCTTCCCCAAATCTCCTTTTTTTTATAATAAAAGGAAATTTATTAAAGAAACAAAAGAAACACAATACAAAGCAATGTTTTAAAAGGCTAAAGGCATAGTTGAGGCATAATGGCCCAAAAAGGTGAGGCATAAGCCTCAAGGCATTGTGAGGCATTAGTCCTAAAAATTAAGAAAAAAAATTAATTGAAGTTTATAAATAATGCATGCAATATACCAAGTTAGAATGATGGAATGTACAAATATCCATAAAATAAATGTTTATAAGCAACAAGTCTTTACTTTTAAGCATTAAATAAAATAAAAATTAATCATCTAACAATTATAAGCATTTTACATTTTATGTTTCAAAATGCAGTCTTATGAAATTACTCATACGAAAAATCATCCATATAATGGAAAGTAGATTTATGGTCATCCAACAGTTGGGAAGAAAAGAAACAACTTAGTTGATTTGATCTATGCAAAAATAAAAAGAAAAATAAATCCATTGGAAAGAGTACAAAATAATACAAAATACCAAGTTTTTACACTCTACATATTTGTACTCCTTCCAAACTGAGCCTTAGGAAAAGAAGTGAGAAAAACAACAAACTTGGGATGTTAAATCAGAATAATAAGAAAAAAAAAACACTTGATTTATTCAAGAGCAACTAATAACTAGATTGGCCACTTTTTTGCATTGAAATCTTCTAAAATAATAAGAGAAAAATACTCAAGGATTTTTCTGGATAAAGAAGTAAAGAGGAAGTATTTGAAGCAGTTAAAATAAAAGCGGTGCATTGGTTGGAGTCCTTGGAAGGTTTCTCATGTGTTTCAGCAAATGATTTACTAAGGAACTGGAAGGCAGTAGCAGATTCATCTGTTCATAAGACTCACAAGTCACTATTGGAGCCCATCGGGTAGAAGATGGTAGTAGCTTAGGAAATCCAGGACCTTCTGGCATTGGTGGTGTTTAGAGATGAGGAGGGCAAGACCATTGACCTATATTCTGGGCCGGCTGGGGAGGGAGATACATTGAGAGCAAAAGTAATGGCTGTAATGGGAGGCATACAAAGGGCGAGAACATGAGCATCAGCAAGCCAAGTGTTGGGGGAGATTCAAAATTGGTGATCAACTGGTTACAGGGCGAGGGGATGAAAATGTGGATGTATAATAATGATAGGAAGAAATTGAGGTGGCTAATTAGAGATATGGAAGTAAAGATAGGGTGGCTTAAGCGGAGTGCTAATGCTGTAGCTGATACACTAGCCAAGCAGAGGGTGGAGAGAGGTCCGTTGGGGGAGAGATAAGAGGTTTTATCTCTCACGAACTTTAAACTGTATTTGAATCAACTGTACTTGCCAATATTTGCTCCTATTAATAAAACTTTGAAGTTATTGATAAAAAGAAAAAAACAGAGAATTGCCTTATCGGTTTTTCATTTTTACTCTTTTTTGGCCCATAACTATTGAAGTTCTATATATTTTGAACAATAAAAAATGCATAAAAATATGTTTTTTTTGCATTAAATCACTAAATAATGTTGATACTCGAAGCATATGCCTTTTTATGTCTCACGTTGCGCCTCATGCCTTGAGGTTTGTGGCTTGTTGTGGGGCTTTAGCCTTGAGGCAACATCTGTGCGCCTTGCCTCAAGGTGTACACCTCATACCTCAAGGCTTAAGCCTTTTAAAACAATGAGACAAGGTGACAAGGAATCACCCATAAGGGGAAGAAAAACAACTCAAATGAAACAAGCAAAAAACAGAAAAACGAAAACTTCCTCAAACACCCTACACCATCACTCCATCCCCTAACCCCCAAGACTAAATGAAAACTGCACGAGCCATCACTAATCCTCCCCTCAAGCAGCTCTTCCCACCCATTGTCAGCTTCATTCCTCATGGTATCAAAGACCAGAGGAACACTAACTCTGAAAATCCGAGAGGACAGTAGGGCAATGGTGCTGCTGGACTGGGAGGACCTATGCAGTGAAGACACTGGGATGGAGGAATGAGCTGGCTCGAGGGGGAAAGAAATACTTACTAGAAGGAAGTGTGGGTGACCAATCTATGCAGTGAAGACACTGGGATGGAGGAATGAGCTGGCTCAAAGGGGAAAGAAATACTTACTAGAAAATAGAAGAACCCACAATGGTTGGTTTATCACTTTAACAGAGTTCTTTGGCAAGGGGAAGAAACAGATGGTCTGCCTACCAGAAGGCAGAGAAAAACAGGGGTGGATGCTACTAGCCAAGACGTTGGAAGAAATTGTAATGAAAGAAATGAAGCCAGTTATAAATGAACAGACTACTAACCAGGAAGGAGCAAAAAAAGTAGAGCCTGGAGAAGGAAGTGTGGGTGACCAAAGGAGGGAAGAAGCCAAACTAAAAGAACCAGAAGTTTGTCAACAAGAGGCAGAAGCAACTCACCACCTCTGAAACTTGCTCGAAACTGGTATGGACAGGAAAAGAACAAATTTGAGACAGAGGAAAGTAGTGAAGGCAAAAATGACGGTAAAAGACTGGAAGGAGATTCTAGAGGCGATAATGGAGAAGAGCCAACTAAAAGGAAAGGTGGAGATTAACCCTTTCAGTGACTGAATGCAATCCTAGATGTGGGAGAAACAAAGGCCGGCTTGGTCACAACCGAAAATTGGTCACCGGCATGTAACAAGCTGATTATCCAAGAAATTACCCTGGTTATTAAGCTTTTTGGTCTGCCTTTCAACCTCCGGCAGGACTGCCTCTTTCACCGAATAGCAGTTATCAGTGGAGGAATCTTGGAAGCTTATTGCTTGCAAGATCTTTGTGTGGCTAGATTAAGGTGGTAGGAGTGAAACCTGAAAAAATACCCCGTGCGATAGAATTTTTGCCAATGACTGTTGGAGGTTGGTTTAGCGAGCATTGGAGAATGGAGATAGAGGCAAAGCTCTGGAGTCCTGTGTTGAAGGTAGAAGATGAAGCTGACATGGATGAGTGGGTGCCACGTGGACGAAGCTGGGTGGACCACCCCAAAGGTTAAATGGAGCTTACAAAACCGGAAATTGAAAAGTCTCTAGAAAACGCCAGAATGGGGTTTTTCCTCAAAAGGATAACTTTTCATTTTTTTTTCAAAAATAATCAAACGGATAAGTTTCAATTCAGCAGTGATGTGGTCGTAACCCACTTTGGTTTGGGTCGTGACCGGTCCACCCCATGGGTTGAACTGAGACATTTTATTTTGGCTGGATCACGTGACCCTTTAAAAAATCAGGTGCAGGGGCCCAACAGTTGATTGGGGACGATTCTCAAGGTCTATCATCGCCCCAATCGAACTGGCCCTCTAGCTTTCAACAACCCGCAGAAGATCCTGTGTACAGGGGTGTTTCCAGTCCAACTCCTAAGGCGGTATTTGATAAAAAAGACTCGGAAAACCCTTTGTCTTGGAAGTTTTGTGGTGTTTCCCATCCAACTCCAAACCTGCATTACAACAGAGAAGAACACAAGGATTTAGAAGATGAAACTGATTAGGAGGACCTCAGAGATATTGAAGAGGAGGAAGTCGATCAACCCTCACGTATTTGAACCCTTAATTCAACAAAAAGGTTGCAAAATGGTTCGAGTGTTTTGGAACCAAACTTTTATTTGAAGAGGACTCTGGTACTAAAGTTCTAGAACTGAAGGAAGTGGGGGTGGAAAATTCTATTGCAGACTTTAGGGGATCTACAGAAGAGCCTGATAAAGAAATGGTTGAAGGAACATCTCAAGCACAACCGCAGGATTTCAGTAGTGGGGTTTTGGGTTTTCAAGATGAGCAAAACACAGTTCCACCTGAGGAACAGATCGCTCCAGCTGTCACCCCCACCCCCACCCCACTCTGTGCCCTCTGTTCATGTTGCAACCCCTTATCTCTGTACTAATTCGGTAATTCCTCTTTTTTTGGCCTGGCAGATCCAGTCTTGGAAGCTACGCTTGATATGGACAATGATCTGGGTGCATCTGAGGGAAGGGGAGGATCAAGGGATGCTGACTTTGAGGAGAAAGAAATAATGGACCTAATCCTAGGGAAATTAACTGCACTAGTAGAATTGGAAGAGATGTCTGAGAAGAAAGGGGAGGGGTAGAACACTACTAGAGACCCAGTAGAGTTTGGAGAAAAATATGTTTTGACCTCTGTAGAAGAAGGTAAAACCAATGACTCACCAAGCAAGGTGGGGCAGGGACCAGAGGAAGTGGGGAAAGAGCCTGCCAAAATGAAAGTCTATCAAAGGAGGGATGCAAGTGAAGACAAAGACAAAAAGAGAAAAGAGGAAAAGGAGTGAAGTGGAAAAATTAGTAAGCAGAGTAACCTATGACAAGGTTGAAAATCGGAAGAGGAAGAAGAGGGGGGAGGGGGGACCAGTAGGTGCTGGAGACAAGAATAGAGCATTTTGAGTCAATAGCAATGAAGGAACATCTCAAGCACAAGCACAGGATCTCAGTAGTGGGGTTTTGGGTTTTCAAGATGAGCAAAACACAGTTTCACCTGAGGAACAGATCGCTCCAGCTGTCCCCCCCCCCCGCCACTCTGTGCCCTTGTTCATGTTGCAACCCCTTCTCTCTGTACTAATTCGGTAATTCCAGATCCAGTCTTGGAAGCTACACTTGATATGGACAATGATCTGGGTGCATCTGAGGGAAGGGGAGGATCAAGGGATGCTGACTTTGAGGAGAAAGAAATAATGGACCTAATCCTAGGGAACTTAACTGCACTAGTAGAATTGGAAGGGATGACTGAGAAGAAAGGGGAGGGGCAGAACACTACTAGAGACCCAGTAGAGTTTGGAGAAAAAAATGTTGTGACCTCTGTAGAAGAAGAAGGTAAAACCAATGACTCACCAAGCAAGGTGGGGCAGGGACCAGAGGAAGTGGGGAAAGAGCCTGCCAAAATGAAAGTCTATCAAAGGAAGGATGTAAGTGAAGACAAAGACAAAAAGAGAAAAGAGGAAAAGGAGTGAAGTGGAAAAATTAGTAAGCGGAGTAACCTATGACAAGGTTGAAAATCGGAAGAGGAAGAAGAGGGGGGAGGGGGGACCAGTAGGTGCTGGAGACAAGAATAGAACACTTTGAGTCAATAGCAATGAAGATTATTTGTTAGAATGTGAGAGGCTTGGGAAGTGCAAAAAAGAGAAGGATTATCAGGAATGTCTTAAGAAAAGAGAAACCAGATATAGTAATGCTACAAAAAATAAAGCTCATGGAGTTGAATAGAAGATGGATAAGAAGTATTTGGAGCAGTAGAGGGTTGAATTAGTCATTTGCCCCTTCTTGGGGTGCCTCAGGTGGTATTCTTACGATTTGGGGAAATGAGGAAGTGGAGTGCCTGGAAAAAGTGACTGGGAATATTTTAGTGTCAATAAAAGCCAAAAAAAAAAAATGAATGGAAGAGTGAGTTTTAACAAATGTGTATGGCCCCAACTCATATAGAGAAAGGGACCATCTCTGGGAAGAGTTAGCTGCAATCAGGGGTCTATGGGAGCGGCCTGGCATTTGGGTGGTGATTTCAATGCCATAAGGTTTATCAATGAAACAAATAACCCAAGCCAGGCCATAACCATGAGTATGAGAAAATTTGACTCTTTGATGGAAACCTTAGAACTAAAAGAACCCCTTTCTTGCAAGCTTCTACAGGACCTACACTGGTCCAACTTTTAGGAAACTCTTATCTGTTCAAAATTGGATAGGTTCATGTTCTCCATTGATTGGGAAGAAATGTGGGAAAAACTAGCCTTGAGAGCCCTCCCTAGGGTAACCTCTGACCATTGCCCTCTATGCCTAGCCTGGGACTTTCACCTTGGGGGCCCTACACCTTTCAGATTTGAAAACATGTGGCTGGAAGTTCCGAAGTTTACTGAAAAAATAAAGGAATGGTGGATGGAAGATGGAATTAATGTAGATAACAAAGGGATAAGATTCTCAAAAGAAATGAAGAGGCTAAAAGGAAGAATAAAGGATTGGAATAAGGATGAATTTGGGAAAATTGAAGAAATAAAAGAGAGGATTGTTAGGAGGATTGAAGAGTTAGACCACAAGGAAGCCCAAAGAGAATGTGGTGTGGAGGACAGGTTAGAAGGAAGGAACCGAGAAGGCTAGAACTGGACTTGGAGGATTTATTAACTAAGATATCAATTTACAATAGATGGTTCAGCATTCCCCATATTACATGTGCATAATAGGGAAAAACCATTTTCAGTGTAATTTGTAAATTGATTGGTATGTGTTTGCGGTAGGAAATAAAGAAAAAACATCATTAAAATGCATTGTGAAGATTGCACCATATTATATAAGTTTATAGAACCTATGATATTATATGAAGCCTCAAGATAGATCACCTGCACGCCTTTTACTTGCATTTGCTGTATAAGTTCAGTAAACACACCTGGAACTCAAAACAGAAGARTCTGGAATAAGAAATATAATAATTCGATGCAAAGAAAGAGAAGTGAAAAGTAACACAGGTAATACATCTCTCTAGGTCATGGTTAAAAAACTCAAATTTGACTTGGTAAAGTCATGGATTTGAGTCATATTTTAGGCATATCATGGTCATTCAATCTTCTCAGCCCAGCTTAAAAATTGTGAAGACTAAACCCTGAGTCAACAAAGTTTTCATTTAACTTGTTAAATCCATGAGTTGGCAAAAACAGGCTCGAGTTGGGGGAAGGATAAATTTGGTGGTTGGGTAGTTCCTAAATTCCAGCTGCAATTCTGCAGTCTTAGTTGGATGAGAACAGAAGTTGACTACTGCAACTTGTCTAATTCCCAACAGGTCAACACCCACCAGAAACTTCAACAATTTACACCTAATTCATGGAGCAGAGTTAAATAACCAATAACAACAATGAAATGCCACCAAAAACAATATATTACATGCACAAAAAGAAAAACTAGGTAATGTTACACATTGAGTGATTATCAAGGATTGTAATGATTTTATTTTGGCATCTTCTCAGGACCAATTGGGCAAGGAAACTCCATAAAGGTAGATATGCTAGCCACTTTACAAAGGCTGAGATTAGCCAAAAAAATTTTAACTATAGCAACATAGAATTAGGATTTAGAAGGGGATTCTGCATGGTGATTGAGTGGCTGGAAAATGAGAAAGGCTCCACCCAAGGCAATGCAAAAACATTATAAAGGAGATCAAAATGCTGAAAAGGGATAGTCTTGTAAATGTAGTATGGATGCAAAGATCAGCAAAAGGGTTGGTTGATACTTTGGCAAAACAAGGAGGAACTGGGGGCAACTTCTTTGGGGAAAGGTGGGCTAATGTTGTAAAATTGGATTTGTAATATAATTCTTGGTTATGGTGGCTTCCGTATCTGCCAAATGTAAGTAAAATGGCATGGGTTTATTTTTAAGTATGAAAGGCAGTAAAGTCTAGGGAGCGTGGAAAGAAAAGGTATGTCTCCCAACCAAATGTAAGTAAAATGGTATTACTTATTGGTTGATAGTTACCGATTTATTTTCCATGTTTTATCTAAATTACAAACACAGTAGGTGTGGTACATGAACCCCAGACGGCCAGACCCAGATACAAGTTAATCTTCCATATTTCAAGATCAGAAAAGCTTTTCGAGTTAAGTATTTAAAACACAATGTGCAAGTATGGAAGTTGAAATGAACAGATCCAAATATGTGGCACTCTAAAATGATGTCTCCATAACCTCAGAAAGTTGTAAAAAAGAAATATAAAGTTATGTATGTATGAAGGAAAGTTTGGTATGATTTTCATGTTTATATTTAAATGAAAAAAAAGGAAATCTTTACAACCTATCACATTTCAGGAAAAATATTCACAATAAATTACCATAATGTTCTTAAGGTTTTATTCATTTTAATAAATTTCATGGACTAACAAAATACATAATAGAAAGTCTAATGAGCCTTACCAGGATCAGATTCAATAGTACACCATGACATGATGGGAAATTTTTATAAGCTGCATGGACATAAAAGGGGTAACTTAGAAAATATACAAAAGCAATTGACTAAGCATACAATGATTTAAAAATACAGAGAATTTTCCATCTAAAACATGAATCACATCAAGCGCAGTTTGTTCAGCAACTACCTCATCTTATTGTTATAGAAGAGCTACGCCTGCCTGATTACAGTGTTCTCCTTAAAAATAAAGGCAAAGTTTTTTTTAAGAAACTGGTTAATACACAATTATGGGTCTGTGAATAACAACTTATGACTCTCTCTCTCCTCTTCTTTCTGCATCCTTTATTGCTTCTTCTCAATTGAACCCTAGCGTTTGTGACAAGTCATTAGAACAGATCTAATTCTACATGGTTCTTATAGTTCACCAGACATACACTAGAACTTCAGAATTATTCTTTCTCTAGTCTCCATCACCAGCAATTTCAGAACTCCAGTCATATCAAGTATCAGAGTCCAAAGATCTGCTGTTCATCTTTTTTATTGCAGTAACCATCCTAGTTATGCATTGCAAATGCAGCACTGAAGTGAGATTCTTCCCTCCAATTATACTCAGTATGAAAGTGTGAAGTATTGTATGTTGTAATTTAGGTGATCAGAAATCATGATCATTTATAAATGGTTCATATGGCATCTTCAAATGGTCCTAGATGCAGAGTCATCACTGATATGATATTAGATGTTAGTCATCTCATTCAATTTCTTCAATCATCTGCATTTGCAAGTAAGTTTAATCTACAGAACAACTGAAAGTATGCATAACAGACAATAAGAAAGGAAAACATGATTAGTTTCTTTTCAGTTGGTAGATTATGAGACAATGATAACCACATCAGATAAGATACATAACCTATATGACACTGGATACAGGCATACAGCATGTATTTTCTCTCCATTTCCCATATCTGTGTCTTTGTCCTTATCTTTATATGGACTTTTTCCTAGGTAGAATGGAGAATATGACTGAAGGGTAGTTTTGTAGACTGAGTACCGGAAGACCTAAATTGTGCAAGGTAAATCTAGACAAACATCACAAATTCCTCCTTATAAATTAAAAACATCAGAAGGTCAAAAGAAGAATTAGAGGATGTTCAAAACAGCGTTGCTAGATTTGCTGAACCCCCAAGATACCTAGTGACCTACAAATTAGTTTCTCCCTAACTTGTAGGAAATAATTCAGTAATATGTAGGTAAACCAGAAAACCCTTATATAGTTGTGACTCTACAGTTGTATATGTACTTTTTCATAGAAAATAGCATGCTAGATTCCACTTTTAGTAGAAATAGTAAAAACACTTCAGCTCTCAGGTTTTAGAAATGATATGTAGCTTCCAAAGAATTGGACATGGCCATATAGACCTTAGGGAAGTGACAACCTCCCTTCCGTTAATCTATAAAAAGTCTAAAACAATTAAATTGATGCATTAAACAAATTGGACATGGTCATATAAACTTCTTTTTTTGGGGGATAAATAACATGGATTCATTCATTCATTCATGAAACATGGGTGATGGGTCATATAGAGAATTTAATCCACAACTTAAATTTATGCAACAAACTGGATGAATTGAATTTAGGAAATCAGATTCAATGGCAAGCCTATAAATCATACTACGAATCTAGCAAAACCAGTTCAGAAGAGCTCTGCAGGACGGGGGCACAATTAAACCAACCATCTGTCTGTCTTGGAACTCTACTGAACTCAGTTATCTTCTGAGCATGGTTCGGTTTGTATGACTCAGAAGTGGGTATTAAAGAAGTCCAAATAAAAAAAAGTACAATTTTACGAACTGTGAATTAAAGAAAAAAAAATGAGAACTTTTTCCTTTGAATGAGGCCTTCAATTTGCTCCCTTGATCTGTACATTTTTAACATGCATTTACACTGGCCCTTGGGTCTGCCTTCTTAGATCTAACATACATTTGTATAGTAAACTAAAGTTCACTATACACAAAATGACAAAATTTAATCACAGAACCATTGAACCTCTATGTATATAAAAAAAACCTCTACGAGCACGGGCATCGATCATCTTGGCACTACTGAAAAAACACCATAAAGTCAACTAAACAAGCTCCAGGAGATTATTTTTCTAGAAAATAGGGTAAGAATAATAGCCTGGACCTTCTATGAAAAATCCTAATAGGTATATACAGGTTTCGATATAGTATGATGGAGTGGAGAAGCATCCAAAAGTAATATAAACCCCCTTTAGCAGGCCAAATCCCCCATTGCCGATTCCCATTGACCTTCCGCTAGTTTTATGGATGGACCTTCAGCAGAAGCCACCAAACATAAACATTCAAACTTTCTAAAAGCAACCTTCCCCTAGTTTTATCAAGGGGGGTTAGTCACAGTAGCAGCTCAGTAAAAGCAACCAGCCATATGCATAATCAAAGTGAAAAAAAAAAACATATGCACAAGTACGTGAAGAGTGCGAGCAAGAATTCAAACAAGATCAGATTGGTTGCAAAAACGGCCATAATCGTCCTAAAAAGGAGCAAAATCTGCCCAAAACGATTCATCAAAAAATACTGATATTTCGGAAACTAAAACAAAAAATGAAAAGTAAGAAAATAATTCACCACCTTGTTGCTTCTTTGGTCAGAACTCACCAGAGGCTCGTCGCGTCGTCTAAACTCGAGTCTTGTCACCTGGTCGAGGTTTCGACAATATGCTTGCACAAGAGTGGAAGACGATATATTTTGGGTAAATTTATTAAACTACCCTTAACGTTTAGCGAATTATAGGGCTGATTTTGAAAGGATTACAAATGCAAATACGTAGAGTGCAGAATTTTATATTTTTGTATTATTTTATGTGTATTTATATTATAAATGAAACGGCTGAAATATCCATTTTACCCTTTAATTCAAACCTACGGTCAAAATTAAATTTACCTCTTTTATACCTTGTTTTAACGCATATGTGGAATGTTCACTCAGTTGAACAAAACACCCGAGAGTAGAGACGGAGCACCATCACCATTGCCTATGACGACAGTCACTGCAACTTACGAACGGCGGAGCTTTGGTGAGAGCACTAAGGACATGAAACCGGACAGCAGTCTTTCCTTTCCCTCGCCAATCGCCATTATTGGTTTCAATGGTCTTTCTATTTTTTCTCTTGCTGATGCAATGTTTCCGGTTCTTCCAAAGGAAAAAACGAAGCTTTATTTCTTCGAGAAGTAAGGGTTTATGAACTTTCAGAAGCTCTAAACAAGAGAAGAACAGAGTTACAGTGTTTAAAACCTCTAGTTTCTGTCATTTCTTACCTTTCGGTTTAGAGAGAAAGGGTCAGAGCAATGGTGGAGGCACCAGTTAGAGTAAGGGTCTATAAACCCCCTCTACAGAATTTTTCGATTAACAAGAAGAACCATTGGCTAGGTCTACCCAAGGTTCAAAGTATCAAAAAATGCAAGGTGTATCAAAAAAGACAATTTTAAGTGATTGATCAGGATACGTTTTGGATACACATGAATGCAGATGAAAAATCAAGATATGTATAAAAATGTTAAGAAATTCAAATAAATCATAAAAAAATATTATTAACAATACTTACAAGTTTTATATAACTATAAATAAGTTATTTAAATGTAAAAAAAATATAATTTAATATTTATATAAAATGTGACATATTGAGATATAATTAGTAGCTGTTTAAAAATGATGAAATAATTAAAATGTGAAAAAAAAACAAAAAATTAAAATATGAATGTATAGACATCAATTTTCAAATAACCAATATAATTATCTTAATATGTATTAGTATATAAATTTTAATAATTAATTTCAGCATTTATTAATAATTAAGCACCACTAAGAAAAGAGAAAATTGACTTAAAACTAGAAATGCATATAATTCCACCAAACAAATTGAAGTGGTTTAATGGCAAAATTATTGGCATTAAAACCTAATTACTAGGGTTCAAGTCTTGCTATTGTTAATATTTGTAGTTTTTACACCAACAAAATAAAATTATTGATAGAGAGAATCAATAATTAATAGAATTAATGAGTGAATTGTAATTGGTGTTGAAATTCAATACATTGCGATATTTTAGACCTTGGCTCCGCCGTCGTTGTCTACATCAACCCCCTCTGACATCGGCACCTTTTGTGACAAGATTGGTGGTAGGTTGGAGATCTTAGAACTTTCAAACAGATGCCCAGATCTATTGAGTATCTCTTAAATCTACAAAGAACCCAACTGGCCCGTTGTTTGCTGCTTCAATCAAGTGATCAATGCAAACAAGTTACTCACAAATTCGCCTACTTTGTATAAACTAAAACCCAAATGTACTTTCATTCATATATCTAGCATCATTGACGGTGGATGGTTTGAAGAGGTTTTGAGCTTCGAGCACTATAACTCGAAGATACCAAAGCTTCGATGACTGGTAAACCTTCGATTGAGTGTGATTCACATAAGGTGTGCCTGATCTCCTTGACTCAGGAAACACATCGTCAGCTTGAGTAGTAATATTAGACCGAAAGTTGAATATCACTGAGACAAATGGAAGTGAAGGAGCTTGAAATCATGGTGTTCAACGATAAGAAAATGGGAAACAATAGAGGAAGTTGCCTGAGGAAGAGAGGGTTTCTCTCAAGCGTCAAATAGAAACAGGGTAAGATTGATATTTTTGAAAGTTATAATAATTATGTGATGGCACATTTGGTGGCGGAACATTAATGGTAAGGGAAGTATTAGTCAGTTGTCAGGAATAATAAAGATAGTAGACTAAAGGTAGTTCAAGAAATTTATCCTATATTTTCCCTTCAAACTTTGATATTGATCATAGGGACAGTATAGTCATTATATAAAGTGCATAATGACAATATCGTCCACTCAAAGCTATCTTTAAGATGAGCACGGAGTATTCGTATATGTATTCCGGAGAGAGAAAACAGCCCGCTCGTCTCTCTCGTTCGAGTGCAAGATTCACACGTGATCTTGAACAAATGGAGGATTAGAGGTCTTCCAACTCGAGTTCAGATCTGCTACAAACTACTCTCACAACATCGTTCCAATAAGTCACTGCAACCGTACATCGGGAACATCTCCGGCGATACTTCCAATGCACGCTGAGATGTGCGAGTGGGGCGCCAATCCTAACTCCTCCAATTTCATCCTTCCTCCGTCTAGGGTTTGTTTATTCTTGTCAAGGGCCTGGGCCCTGGGGTTTTGATTTTTTTTTTTTTTTGATATTAATAAGTAGGGGTTTTGATTGACGTCTAGGGTTTGTTTTATTCTTGTAATGGTCTGAGTTTTTTATGTTTGCTGCAGGGATTTGGGGACGTTGCATCATATTCTCTGAGGAAGCTACAAGGTACAGTCTTCCATCTTTCACGTACCAATTTTTTGTTCTTCAATTTTCCCTTACTGGTATCTTGCGTGGATTAACTGTTTGTTAATTTTCCCTTACTGGCCCTGTTGATATTACAATCTTTATTCTTTGCTCAGAAATATTTTAGAATAAATATTTTTCTACACCTGACATTCTTTATTTACAGAAGTCGAACTTTATATGTGGGTTATTTTTTTAGTTCGAGAAATGTCAGTGAATAATTGATTAATTTCGAATTTTATATGTTTATAAGTTTATTTATCCTTAAATTCATGAGTTAACATATAATAACTAGTTAACATTTTTTAAGTTTTCCACCATATAGATGCTTGTTTGACATTCTTAAAAGGGACATCATATCTAAATGCATATATGAAATTCGTGTTGCATATTCCAATTTGGTAGAAGCCTTTTAAATTTTCATTTATAAAATAATATTGAGGTTGGTTGGAAAGCTGAGTTCCTTAACCCAAGGAAACCAAACATTGCATTCACAAAAGTAAGTTGAGAAAAGAACTATTCTCATGGTAAAATCAAAATCGGGGTTGCATGAGAATGGATCATGTGATTCTTCAATATGCACATCCCATGTTCAATTTGGAATGGGGATAGGTTCAATTTTGAATTTGCATGAATGCTCGGTTTTGAACTTGGTAACTTAATATGCTTGCCCTTTGTTTCTATACTGTTGGTCTCGGAATCTTCATGATGTAATCAAACAGGCATGTGCTGTGCATTTTATTATGGATTGAGTATTCTTGTTCTAATTTCTTATGCTGAATTTGGATTCTTTCTGTATACAAGCTGTTCTTTCTCTTAAATATTATGTCGCATAGCCAAATGGCTTTAGTTGGTAAATGAAACAGGTCATGCTATATCCTGATAGTAGATACTTGTCCAATTTGAAATGATACAATGGATGCTTTAATATAAGAAATTGAAATTGCAATAGTTCAATATATCCCATATTTCATTTTATTCTCATGATTGGTTTCTGAATTTGGTTACTCAAGATGATTGTCTTCTGTCTTTGTATCTTTCTTATTAGTTTCAAAGTCTTCATTATTCTAATGAAGCAAACTTGTACTGATGTAATTTTAGTATTGACTCAAGATGCTACTCCTACAACAGTTTCTCTGGTATCCAAATGTCCTGTGCTGAAAATTTTAAAGACACTATACAACAGGCTGGTCCAGCTATGAGATAGGATTATTTTCTTTCTGTCTCATTTTGGTTTGTGTTAGTGAGGTGCCTGTTGAGATCCGTCTTGATCATCCTCAACAATGAAACAAAGGTTATTTAGTTCTTACTTTTATTTGCCTACATATCTACCAGACTTACCAGCTTTTCTAATCCAGACTTTTATGGTCATACTAATACCAATTCCATGCACCAAAAAGAGCAGATTCCTCTACTCTCTATTGATGGAACTTTGGGTTAAGGTATTTTTCCAGGCCTAGCCTCAAGCCTAAACCCGCCTAGCTCACAAGTCACGACAATTTTAGTCCCAACCTGACCTTTAAATATTTGGCGATTGATTGTTTGATATCATTTTCTTTAATACTTTAACACTGGACTCGTACTTTTCTCATTAAAGAAAAGCATCAAGAATAATTTCACAGATTTCTTAGCGAGGTTAGGGATTATAATGGAAGTGGACTTATAAAAAAAAATTATAATGGAAGTGGCTGTTAGGTATTTCATGTTTGTGGCATAATTGGAGATTGTTCAGCTGTTTTAACAGAATTCTCAAGCCAGCATATGAGAAGGGAAGGGGAAAAAATTGTGCCCACCTATCCTGTTGGAGAGGGAGGGGTTTGTTCTAGTTTCCATCTGAGAGTTAACTCACTGCCTGTAGTTCCATATTATTTCATTTTCTGATTACCTATGGACTGTTTCTTTATCTAAAATAAATTGTTAGTTATTGTATGCATTGTTTCTCCAGTTCAACTGAACTAGTGAATTGCTTGATTGCCTGTTGTTTCTCTTTTCCACTTGCATGCCTTGGTTGATTACCTATATAGTTTTCTTAGTCTAAATTGGCCGTTTCTTCATTATATCAGGACTTGCATTATCTCACTGCATGTAGTTCTACATTTTTTTATTTATTGATTACCTATGTATTGCTTCTTAGATGCAGCATGCAGTTATTTCCTGTCATACTGATTTGTAGTTTATGCTTGAACTGTACTTGGATGGGGTGGACTATATCAACAATATACTGAAGCTTGTCTATATATATATATATATATATATATATATTTGCAGGTATTTGTCACAGATTGTTATTCATCTACTATTTACTCGTAACTGACTCAACTTAAGGTTGAATTTTGCTGACTTCAATGTTCTGCTTATTCAGCTCAATATGTGTGAAGTAGAAATGATATATTTTCTATTGCTTTTTAATTTTAATGGTGTACCTGTATGTTATGGTATCTTGGTGGGTTACAATAGTGTTATAAATACATAATTAGGGGTGATCATGGGTCAGGCCCTGGCCGGGCTGGGTGAGGCTTTGGGCTTATGTCACTATATGCATTATATTTAATATATAATATTTTATATTATATATCATATCATACATGTATAAAATATATGATATAAGGATATGTCTATGATGCCAAAAAGGTACAATATCGGAATAGCTTTGACCAATCAAACCCCACCCCATGGTGAATTTTGATGAATACCACCTGATTGGTTACCACTTTTGTGATGGCGGTTGATTGGTTAAATTTTTTTTTTTCCAATATCATGTTTTTCCGGTACCATAGTTGAATCAATATGATTTGATGGTACTATCCAAACACTATTTGTTTTTTCCGTATAATTTAAGATCTTCTTTCTTTTGTATTTTATCTGGATTTGATTCACTAGTATTTACTCTCACCTTAGGTCAACCACAAGTTAAAGAAATTCCATACTCCAGGATGTCCCTAGTATCTTCATCTCAATATGATCTTTGGGGGACCATCACAACTGGCTGGTTTTCTACATCATTAGCACATAGTGTTGACCCCCTCCCCCTTGAGATGTGGTGGATGTCACTGACAATAACAACGTTACGAGTCTCAGAATCCTATGGTCCAAGACATTGGTCATGGTACTAATACTGAAGTTGAGCAGGCTTCTGCTACAACAACTCGACATGAAGCCCATAGGAAGAGAAATGTAGACCCCCCTCCCCCTTGAGATGTGGAGGATGTAACTGACAATAACAACATTGTTACGAGTCTCAGAATCCTATGGACCAAGACATTGGTCATGCTACCAATACTGAAGTTGAGCAGGCCTCTACTACAACCACTCGACATGAAGCCCGTAGGAAGAGAAATTTTTGACTTTATTGAATCAATTAATGAACTGAATTCCTATGCAAGTATGAAAATAGATAAGCTAGTGTAGTCAATTAATGTGCTTATTGATAAACCAGAAAAGTACTCCATTTGGAGGTGCTGACTCAATGTGACTATAGCGAACTCTTCAAGTTGTCACTTCTTGGATATGGTACACGAAGATGCTTCCACATGTTAGGAGGAACTGGATTGTTGACATTCTTAACAAGTAGAGTTCGTCTAGGTGGCTAATTATGTTTGGAAGTGACTTTTAATTTGTAACTTATTTACAATATTTAGCACTGTTCTTTGGACCATAGTAGTTGTAATGTGAAATGCTTATTTGAATTTTAATGTATGTGATTTGACTTGATTGACTATTATTTTTTCTAATGTGTTATGTGATCCAATTATACTTGCTTGTGTTGTACTGATCATTTATGAAATGCACATTTCTTAGCAGTGAGCAATGGTTGATAGAGACACCTTGTTGAAAGTCATCATTTGCAGTCTGTGCATTGGAATTGGAACAAGAGAATATCATTATTAATGCACTCATTGCAGCTTATGCAGATGATCTTTACAATGCCGAGTTAATTAAAGAATTAAATTCCTCTGCAAATGCAAGAATAGATAAGCTAGTGGA